ATGCCATGTTTTAAAATTCAGTAGTGCCCGCGTTTGTCGTAGTCGAGCGGTAAAATTTATAGAAGTCCGGTGCAATGCGCTCCGGTGGTTACTATCTGCGTGCAAAGAATAAGACGAGACGGCGCAACTGATGTAGAGCACATTTATAAGACAACTTGTGACCGGATGCATGAAGCATCATCTACCAGTGAGAGCTGCTCCCTAGACGCAGCCGTCTACCGCTGTTGCATGCGCTGGACTGGCGGAAAGGAGGGGCGCTGAACATTCCAAATGGGGCGAAGGGCGGCGCGCTCAAGTGTCCGCGTGAACACGGCGGGGGGAGCGCTTGACGTCCGTAGACTGCCGGATGGCGGCAAGCCTCGTCCTCATGTCCAACCTCCAACTAACCTGCCTGCGTCATACCTTCTCTACGTCCACTATCAGAAGCAGATCTTCGGGAGCGTAGAAATCCAGGTCCTTAGTGACATTACAGCGCATTCTGCGGAAGATTGACGAGAGGTTGCAGGAACTTGGCTCAGAGGCAGCATCGAAAATTCAGTAACCTCAATGTGCAATATTGCATCTAATCGCAGGCTGCCGCAGGAGCTCTTTGACATAATCATCGACAATCTCCACTCGGACAAGGACACGCTCAAAGAGTGCTCCCTCGTCTGCAGAAGCTGGGTCCCGTCCAGTTCTTTTCATCTCCTGCGCCGCGTGGCATGGCCGCTGTTGCATCACACTCGTCATACACACGATGATCCCAACGTCTCGCACCAAGATCACCAGTCTCTCTCGTCTCCGGATCCTATAGACACCAGCTTTCGCACCTGCCTTTCCATCCTGAAGTCGTCTGCTCGGCTGCAATCCTACGTCCGCGAGTTTGCACTGACATCTCACCGTCCGCAATGCTCCACAATCACGGGGCGCGGAAAATGGGAAAAGCTGGACGTATCCACCATCGCAGCCATCCTGGATCTCCTGCCCTACCTCAGATGCCTCTTTCTTGAGCGCTGCGCCCTGAGGTCCGTGGCATCATCTCGCAGCGCTGAGCCATCACAGTCTATGCCGCTCCTCCACGGGCCGCGTCGCGACCTCGAGGAGCTCTCCCTTTGCGAGCTGACACGTGGGTCAACCGTCGAGCCTCTCGACGACTTGCTATCGTTCTTTCAGCACATCGGCAAGCTGACTGTTGACCGCATCCCCCACTGGCCCCTCCCTAGATCATCCTTTCCTCGTCCACTTCCCGCTCTGAGTGTCGAGACCCTGGTACTCAAGAACGCGAGCGCAGGTGCTGTAGCTACTGCACTTTGTCACGAGCTGAAAACACACCAAAACCTCAGTGCAGTGCGCGAGCTGACTGTTGATCGTCTGACACCAGGGCTCCTCGACTTCATCTGCGCCGCGCCGAACTTAGAGTCGCTTGCCTTTGTCGCCGACGCATACCAGTCGCCGATCAACCCCGGCGTGCATCGTGCCAGCCTGCGCAGGATCACTTTCATCACGTCCTTCGAGTTCGGGACCGACTACGGTTACTATACGTCCACCTTCCGCTCGATCGCAGCACACATACAGGCTCTCTCTGCCTTCGGCAGCATCTCCGAGATCGCCATTGAGTTCCAGGTCCAGGTTCAGGACGCGCTGATCGAGAACCCGGAGTTCGACCTCCTCGCCATCCTGCAGCGGGCGCTGTCCCCCTTCGGGGAATGGCAAGCCATCCGCGAGGCTCTGAAGAGCTACGATTCGCTCCAGACTCTCGCGTTTCATGTCCACGATCTCGCAACGCTCAGCCATGACTGCGTCTCAATCTTGAGCGCGGCAGCTGCCCGCCATCTACCCCCAAAATACGTCGACATGCTGCGCATCATGTACGTCTAGAAGCATGAGGTGTGTGCGCTAACATGTTCCACCTTCTGTTGCGCTTCGCATGTACTCATGTCCGGGCAGACAGATATGTAGTTTGAACGCCCTTGGCATGTCCTCATTAAACCAGGATGATTCAGAGAAGTATACCCTCATACACCCTCTTATGATACCTAGCTAAGCAACGAGATTCAAGGACAACTATATGTAGGCTCGGGACTCAGATGCTGGATTGTAGGATGTACTATTGCACTGCCCAATGAGATCATCGACTTGACCACTAAATTTCACTGCGTTCGTTACACGTTGTTGGATCTTAAACTATTTACCACAGGCCTCAGAAACGGCGCACTGTTATGATCGTAAGTGATGACGGGGCGCAAGAACGCTTTAGTGTTCGCAGATTGCCGGACTAGGCGGGACTTGAGCCGCAGTGAACTTTGGCCCTCGTTCCCAAATGGCAGCCAACTCGTCGTACGTGTCCTGTGTCGACCATTGTGATAGATCCTCGAAAACTTTGAGATGGTGGGTAGTTGAGTTCCTGACGTGTTGGTGCAGCTAGCGGAAAGCTGACGGCAGATCACAGGCGTCAACGACTCTGATTGAGGGGTTTTCTTCCGCGTACGATTCTCCTCCGAGACACTGGCCACCACAGGAGCTAGTGGACATCATTATTGACCATCTGCATTCAGACAAGGAGACGCTCAAGAGCTGCTCTCTCGTCTGCAGAGACTGGGTTCCATCAAGCTCTTTGCACCTCCTGCGACGCGCAGCATGGCCGATGCCAGCCCATGTCTGTCAAGTCTGCAATCACTTTCAACTTCTCTGGGCTACACAAAACCAACATTGCTCGTGCCCTGATCCCTCAGATACGCGCTTCAGCACCTGCGTCGACGTCCTAACGTCATCCACCCGGCTACGATGTTACGTACGCGAGCTCGCACTGACATCCCAACGCCAGGAGTGCTTCAGGATTCCCGGAGAGCATGTAGAGCTGGAGAAGCTAGACATGTCAACCCTCGTGGTTGTTATAAACCTCCTTCCTGGTCTTGATTGCCTCCACCTCGAACGTTGCGCCTTACGCCCCGAAGCACGATCTCCCGATGCTACGCTACCGAGACAATCCGCATCGTTGCTCT